ATGTTTATTTTATGATTATTGCTTTTGTGCCCTGTAGTACATACAGATTGCAGTTTTCTTTGATACCTGTTCTACAACCCACAGTTACTGATACCATTTATTTCTCTTCGCTCTCCAGGTAGACACACCTTAGTTGTAATAGGACTTGAACGACAATGGACAACCTAACAGGATACATTCATAACGTATCCCCTGTTAAGCACTCCAACAAGACTTGCTATTTTGACATGCTTATTCAAACAGAAGCGACCAAAGTACGTGGAGTCTGTTTCTCTTCAAGCAAGCACCTTGACTTTGAAAGATGCAGCAAACAAAAGTCCCCAGTAAAGATTAGCAACTTCACCATTAAAAATGACAGTGTTCTCATGAATGCAAGAGTCCAAATAGAGGAACTGAAGGAGGTCACTTTTCTACGAGAAGAGATTCCATTGACTCTAAACATCTTGATGCTCTCGAATGTCACCAATAACCAACTTATTAATCTCAAAGCCAAAGTGGTCCACTTATCTGGAGTGAAGAAAATAATCACAAGAGATGGCACGAAGTCGAAAGCTGATTGTTGCCTCTTAGATCCATCTGGATCAATCAAACTAACCCTGTGGGAGGACCTGATTACAGAAGTTGCAGATGACAACGCATATAACTTCTGTAACCTTAAAGTGACGAAGGATAATGACGACTACTCCATTTACCTTACTACGCCAAAGCATGACTGTTCCATTTCACCAGCTGATCCCTTCCAAGAGGAAGTAGCTTCACCAGGTGATTTGCCAGACTACTTCACCCAAACATCAACAAATGCTGAAGTCCTTGGTGTTCAAAATTTCACGTGCTATCGTCAATGTTGCAAATGTAACAAAAAGCTTCCAGCAACACCAGGGAATGTGGTAAAGTGTGAAACATGTGGCCTCAGGCAGAAAGTGTCTGCTTGCAGCAGTCAGTACCACTTGCAAGCATTGCTGAGACATGATGACATTAACACCACTGTAATATTTTTTAATGATACTTTGCTCAGTGCCTTACAGTGGTTTAAAGTTGACACTAAGCAGTCATTAAGTGAAGATATTGTTGTTGAAGCATTCCTAAATACACCAATGCTCTTTGTTACCTTTGATAAGAAAACTAAAGTTGTGGCTATAGTCAGTCTTGCAGAGAACTAAACTGCAGCAAGAACCAAAATAATGGTAAGGATCAGAATGCATCCACCCTATATTATCATTTAACAGGATACCAAAGCCATTGTTGTATCTTTCACTAAAGACAAAAATGTTCATGTTATTATCACTGGGACAATGTTCTGTTATAGCATTCCCCTTCTCCCAAGTGACTTTTTGTATTTAAAAGTATTTAGATATATATTTTATTGAGTTTGTACATTCAATTGAAAACTGCAACCGAAGTACATTTATGAACAGTCTTTTTAATGCTTATACATTGAGAAGAGAAAGTTTCAACAGGAACTCGAGGCTTTTAATGCAGATTACTAATGTTGCCACTTAAAATTTTCAATTACAACAGTAACCCGTCTCAGTTGAAACCTTCAGTAATTCCCAAGTAGTAGAGCTGTTCGCATTTCTTCATACTCTCCTGTTGTTAAACTTTCTATCTATTTTTTATATGACAGTTATATGTTCATTAAATTGTCTGATGTAAAAGAAAAAAATCACAATTCCTAACTTGAATCATGTTTTGTTCTTTCTTATTGTATCAAATACATACAGTTACGGTTCCTTTTGTAATGCAGGCTGTTTTTTTACAATAAACTTGTTCATCCCTGATGTCTATGTTCCAGTCTCTGTATTCCAGATTTTAGCCACCTAACCTTGCAGCTAAAATTATTTTAATCAATTCTTGTTCAAATTGTTGAATTGAACTCGAACCAAACCTACTCAAAACAAGACCTCAAGGAAGTACCGCTAAAACTCAGTACTAGACACACGTACGCATTGCGGACCTATTTATTCGTCTGATACGTGATAACATATCATGTTAAAACTTACCGAGCGTCACGCAATCGCTTTTCCGCGATCATCTTTTACGATCATTCGCACTATTGGGGAAAATTCCTTGCCCGTTTCTTGATCACAGACGTTCTTAAAATAATTTTAAGCCTTCCTAGAGTCTTCTCACTTTGCGCGTGAGTTGGTTGATGTGATGTCTGTATAGAATTTACCAACTTAATAAAAGTGGATCTAGATGTAAATGAGATGTCACTATCGAGCATTTAACACGCGCAATATTCGAGAAACAACGGACAGCTTTGCACGTGGTCCATACGTTTCATCTTTTTAACCGATATGTGTTCACTTTGTTGACAAAAATAGGGGCTGAGACCAAAACTGTTCCCTCGACTTGATATATTTTTAACGTTTAGGGGTGTTCGCGCACTGATTTTTACATATGTGCCTTATATTGTTATTGGCTTACATGAGGAACCGGCGAATTTTTATAGGGAAAAGCGAAGCGTGGCTTTTGTGACTGGCCATTTGATTACTTTTCTGATGGTTTTATCTCTTATCTGTTTGGGGATTACGCAAATATTGATATGTGAAAATCAGACTATCTGGGGGCTTGAAATTCTATTAAGAACCATTGTAGCCGCTTTGTTAAATACCAAATGCAACGATCGCTTTATTAAAAACAAAAGATATTAAGAAACAAGCAAGGAATATTTCACAATAGTGCAAATGATCATGAAAGATGAGGGTTATAAATGTTTTGTTACTTGAGCAACATTTGATGCTTGATCATGCCCACCCAGCCCACCCTCCGCCCCACAAACACACACACCACCCGATTCGCTCATAATTAACCGCTTACATGCGGATTTAATTAGTATCAAATTAACGCATACAAGCGGTCAAAGTAGGGCCTATTTACCTATCGAGACCTGAAAGGACTCAAGGCCTGGTGCCATAGCCTGCGAACCCTTGAAACGCGGCTTTGAAAAAGCGTTGGATACCATTATGCCTCCTAAACGCGATTTTAGGTCGAAAAAAAGTTTGAATGTAGTTACTTTTAAAGGAGGAAAAGCTATAAGAAAGTCGAAGTTTAGTGTTCCAGTTTGATGTGCCGCCCAGCAATTAACTGATACAACGTCTGTAGTCGCCGGATCTTCTCTAAACACGTGCGGCGGTTTTTCTCCAGACCAAGAAGACCTTCCCCATATTGACGAACATCATGGTTTGAGAACCAACCAAACATCTAAAAGTAAAAAAGTGCGACTGAAGCGCAAGTTAAAAGCTTACCATGAGAGGAAAGCCACGCTGGCTTTGTCTTGGCTCAATGCGAGAGAGCAGCTCGTCTCAGCGCTGTTGACCAGACAGGCTTTGCCTTTGGGGCAGATGTGTGTCATTCCTTTTTGCGAAGAAGAGGCGTGCGGCAGATGCCTTCACTGCAGTCCAGGGCAATTCCTATGTGCAGATCACATCAATTTAGTTCACGCAGGCGGTAGATCACTTCACCACCCGGAAGTTTGGAAAGTGAGTTGAAGATTTATGGAGGACAATCTCCTCCAGTCACCTTTTCAATTATGGTGTGAAACCCGATTTCTTGTGTACTCTGGCCGTTAGGCAATTTCATTTGTAAGTACGTTGTCTTGTGGTTTAATTGCAGAGACATCCATCTTTTTTTTCTTACAACTATATCACCTCTATTCAATTACTTCACTTGATGTAGTTTTTTCTCAACTTCAATATGCATTATGTCCATGAGACCTGACCCATTTTTATACAGAGGAAAAAGCTAAAGCTGTAAGGATAATTTTTTCTTGCAAGCATACATGTAATTTGCTCTATACTCAGAACAAAGTAAAGTTTATTTTTGGCAATTTTGAAAGAGTTGGCTGATTTAAATGGTGTGTGATTTGTATTCACCTGATTCATGTAGGATATTTTATGCTCTTAGGATGGAAGATTTGTGCCATATCAGTTTGGTGAGTGTGTATGGACCACACCTCACAACATGGATCATGGATATGTGCGTGACATTATAGCTGTCGGTTTGCATGGTAAGTAACTAGCAGCTGTGCAATATGTAACTATATTGTGAGATAGGTTGCCAGTCTGCAATTACTAGTACTACTTTTTACTTATACTTATATTTAAATAGTTAGGTTACCTCTTCCAGGAAGGTCTTTGTTTGTGTTTTAATTGTTTTTTTCAACACAGACAGGAATTAATAAACAATTATTATAGAAGAATACGACTATGGACACTCTATGGTGTTTGTCTTTATACAGGGCAGCAGAATCCCATCAAAATCAAATGTTGCGAGCATGAACCAGAAGCCATAACGCTGGTCAGGAATGGTTTCTGGCCATCTACTCCAAAACAGCCCCAGGTAGGCTTTTGACCTTGAATTTATGGCCTTGCTCCAATACATTTTCTTAGAATGTAGAGTGTCTTTAAGGTCAATATGTCAGGCACTGCAGTGGCTGGTCCCACCTGCTTCAAAGGTTTACGTAAGTATTCATTCAGTAATTTTTTATCTTATGCTTATGAATTCCTTTTTATTTTCTTAATTTATACAATAAATAAATTATTTGTTTTCCTTTAGATTAAGGACATCTACCGGCTCCTTGTTGGAGATTGTTTCTGCGAGTTCCGGTATATGTCTAGCATGTTGAGTAACCTGAAGCATTTCAATCCTTCTTATGAGAATGATCATGAATGTCCTGCATGTCCTAAGGTTTGTGATAAGTCATCCTTCAGATGAAATGTCTAAGTGGGTAATATTTACCTTTAGAAATCTCAAATGACTATCACTATATGTGTTGGCATAATGAATGATATAATTTAGACAAGAAACATTGTTTTGAATCTTTATGATTCTCTCTTTTTCCTAGTGGTCCTCATAGTGTGGCAGCTGGTCTTAGCATGAGTTATTCCATTGTTTTTCATTCATTTAGGCGTAAGAAATATTTTTAACATGACATTTCTAATAAGATTTTGGCATCTGATTGTAGGAGAAGGGAAGTTTATTTATCTCTGTTGATGCATTGTTTGGATGTGTCCGCAAATGCAGTGCTGGAACTAGTGGAAAGTCCTCAAATCATGGAGAGGAACTGTTCATTAGCCAAGAAAAAGTAGATGCATTTCTAGCTAATTACAGCAAAAGACCAAGCAGCAAGTCAATGGTGTGTGAACCAAAGGACTTTTTCTCTTACTTTGTATTTTGTTGCGTTGCTCTAACCTTTTGTTACCCATCAGTACTCATACCACTACTCAACCATTGCAATGAGAGACCAAAAGTAACAATTATGTTCGTTACTTGTAATAATGATGTTAGTGTTGAATAATTTAAATATGGTACAGTTTGAAGGGTTAATTACTTTGGTAACATTCTGCCCAAAATACATGTAGCTCAAATATATTGTTAGTTTGTTCTGTAAACTTAATTTACAAGAACTGTGTGAATTGTCAGCTTCAAGAACAAGTACATAATCTTTATTGCAGCCCCCTCTTTTCCTTGATCTTTTTCTATTTTTTATTTATTTTTTTTTTTCAAATACAGTTTTTTTCCCTCTTTTTTTGTAATTGATTTATGGTCTTTAAAGGTAATATCTTTGTATTTGCTTACACAACTAACTCTGCCAAGGGTGTCTACTGTCACTCTTGCTGGTCTCAAGCCTGAATGAAAGAGGAGGGGTTGTTATCAAGCAGTAAATTTATTTGGTTGTCCCATTTTTTAAATTTTTATGAGAAATTGATGAATGATTATTATTTTCTGCCAATATTTTCCTTGCCACCTTTCCCATAATGTAATGTTTAATTTCTAATGTGAGGGTTCACCTCCAACAACCCATATCTACTTTGAATGCTACACGTACATGAATGCTACATAGATCTTAATTCCTGTTCTGTTTTTATCTTTGATACTTCTGCTTTAAATGACATCTCAAGAAAAGGTAGAAAGGAAGTTGAAGATTAAGAGTTAAATGTTTTCTGTTGTAGGAGCAGTGTAATCAGTTTCAAGCTGGTTCCAATCTCCGTTCCAAAAACAAATCCACAAAGCTCGATGAGACAGCCCTCTTTGGTGGAGGCTGCAAGCACGAAGTGCCACTGAAGTTTTTCAGCTTAAAGAGAGGAGAAGAGTATGTACATGCAAAAGGAAATCTGTACATTATTGGTCAGCTATTGTTAAGAAATATGTAACCAGAGTGCCTTGTAGGATGCATAAATTAAGAGACATGTCACTTTTAGGTTCCTAAGGAAAGAATTTGTATATGATAGTCGTACTGCTGTATAGCATAACTCTGTTTTATACACCATTTCTATTAGGGTACTCAATGAAACTAGGGAACAAATAAATTACTGCATGGACATTGTGGCTAATAATGATTATATTTTTATTAAACAGGATTGGAAATGCTGTGTATTTGCTAAAATGGATTAAAAATCATGTGCAAGATTAAGCTATCAACATTCGCTTCTTCTATGATATTGCATGTGTGCTGGATACACATTTGAGAGTAAGATTTTTTAGCGGTTTTATTTGAATTAAGTTGTGGTCATGGTACTCTGGCATTTTTGCTTGTTAAATGATGCCCTGTTGTTTTTAATTTATCTTCTCTGTAGAATACGCACCAGGAAACATTGCTTGAAAATGTTACTTTTGCGATACCTGCATTTCACTGCTATGGACACAAAGTTTCTTGTCAGGTATTTTGAAATATTTTCCTTTTGAACACTTTTGAGGAGTTGAAAGGTATTGAAAAACACATGCATGCTTACTCTAAAACAGTTATTGTTTTCATGAAGCTTTGTTTGGTCTTTTGTAACGCCAGGTCAACTACAGTGGAAGACGGCTGGAAGGGTTCGGGATGAGTGATGGCGAGGTGATGGAGAGACTGTGGTCTTACTTGAGGCCAACAGCAAAAATAACGAAGGAAATGACTCCAGCCCACCGAGTTGATACATTAACTGACTTCTTGATGCATTACGCTAAAAAGTCAATTTTGAACCTTGGTAATTTAGCTGTTAATCTTCACGTTTTACAAATACAGTTATCACCATAGTATATCATATTATAAACGATTTGTGATATGTTTTCGTAAACTCAATCGTTATCTTGCTGTTTTTCACCATGTTTCGTTATTCCCAAAAATTTAGGAGAACGACTTCGTGACCATTTAAAGAAAGCAGTGGAAACGGAGAAAGAAACTGAAGAGCAACTCAATTTGCTTCTTGAGAAGTTGAATGAGACAGGTAGGGATTTGATTTCGTTACTTTCTTTATTTTTCCCTTCAACTAATTACATTGTTCCTTTACGTGTTAAAAAGAATTAGACTTCATTGCATGTGCGTCCTGTTGTGAGCTTTATGTCGTAAATACATGTACGGTTAACGTTCCTTAAGAACTTTTGTAAAGAAACCACATGGTATGTTTTCATACTCCATGGACCAACTTCATTCAAATAACTTCAGCTTAAGTGGTGCACTATTTTGATACAATCAATTGTATATTCTTTTCCTTTCATTAGCGAATTGGCATTTGGGTATTGCGGAATACTAGAAAATGAAACTTCGATGAATGTAACTTTGTTAGATACATAGGTATGTCTAGATAATGATACAGCCCCATTTTACTATTACCAAGGTATTAAGGTGGACGTATCCAGCGTCTCAGAGTGGAGCATTATGGAGAAATCTACGGCTAACAAAGCGGCCAGTACAGGAAGACCCAGTACGTACAAATTTCGCCTATTCATTGAGGGGAACTTATTTGGAATGGTTCACCTTTAACGACCAATAATAATCATGACAAATGAATGATTTCCATTGTACTTTGCCCCCTTTTGATTACAGAGTGATAAATGTTTTGAAGTGCTTAAGAGGAAATTAGAGTACCACAACTGAAGTTCAGATAGGTACACGCAAGTTACTTAAACAGTTACAAGTTCGTTTATGATTTTACGTTTCCTACTTGAAGGTTCATCACCAGATGATTACCCGGACAAGTTGAGGCAGTTTTTCTGTGTAAGGTATGAAGTAGCATGGGGATCTGGTTTTCATACAATGTTTACCCCAAATTTTACAGGAAATGTGTCACTTTTGGTCCATCACTTTCTGTCATTTCTCCTGACTTTCTCTGATGCTTGTCTTCTGAATTTTCAAACTGTTCATTAACAGAACAAACCTGCAAAAATGTTCCCCGGCATCTGAAACTTGGAAAGTACTGACCGATCAGCTTGACAGGTATGAAACCATATTTTGGATCCTGCAATTTATTCCCCTAATCTGGGAACTAAATGATCTTTACGTAAGGATATTAAAACGATTTTCAAATGAGGTCCGCCAAAACAAAGCAAAGAACTCATTACCAGCCACAAAATCTAGAAATAGCTTATCATACAAGTAAACAGACAATCAGGCAGTCGGGCAATCAGAATTATGGAAAATTCCATGTCATTAAACGTGGAAGTCGTTATTGGTATTTTACTGGGTTCTCAGGGCAAGTTTTGATTGCCAATCGCACTTCAAAGCAATGCAAATCCAAACCAATAATTTCAACCAAATTTTGGGTTTCTCCACTGTTTTCCTTTACGCTGGTAATAGGTTGGATCAACAGCTAAAGAACCTTGAGGGCGGCCAACCCCGATGGTCTCCTGACAGTAGCATGTATATTGCATACCTCCGCGATTTGCAAGACAAGCGTCGAGAAGACTTGCTATTATCCATGCATGTCAAGTGCTCAGAAAGGTGGTTTCTCTTACAACTGATGAAGAAATATGCAGGTATTGCATTGATATGTTCCAGTGCTAACAGTCGTCGATAAAAGCCCGATTACAGCTAACCAACACATCGTATTGAAATGATTATAACCTAGGCTTTCTAGGGTATCATTTTGACTCATGTCGTGTTAATTCTTTAGATGGACAAGCCATTGCAAAACGGCTTTGTACGCAAATTACAAAGGCAACGGGAGCTATTAAACAGCTGGTCAAGGAGTACACAAGACAAAACGTTGACACGGTGGGTTGTAAATACCCCTCCACAATTGCGGTTGAAGACGCGCTAAGCATCGACAGTCCACTGTGGCGTGTACTAAACGATGACATCCAACCTCAGTCTGCTGTTCCCTATTGTTTAAAGAGGCAACTCATTGATTTGTTTCACACACGCAAAAGATGCTTAGAGGAAATAGCCAACACCAGAAGAAGAAATGGCTCGGATGTTCAGTCATTTCGAGGGAAAGTTGAAGGTATTGGACACTTGGTCAAAGGAACTGATGGCACAGAAAGATACGGAGCGAGCTCGCGCATTACTCTCCATTGCCCGCACTAAAATGGATGAGCTTTCCGTATTCACAGGTCATCTCCACGGTCTCTTTTCTAATGATGATGGTAGCCATGAGGAATGTGAAGCTCAGTTTGACCTTGGAATTTTCCCCGAAGTGGATTGTGATGATGCCGATGAGGAGGTTCAGATGGAGGACGATTACAACACTGATGAAGCTGACGTGGTTCAACAGCTTGGCCAAAGTGAAGTCTTTGAGGACCTGCGTTCCGTTCTCAATGCTGAATACGGAAGTGACAGTGAATCTGATTCAGATAGTTCAGATTTAAACACAGAAATATCTTGATTGTAACTTGTGAGTCGTTTCAACTGCCTGTTCCTTTTCCTCTTTCACTCAAGAATGTAAATCTACGAACAAGTGTTACCAATCAGCTAAAAAAAATTAAGCTGTGTCAACTAGTCAGTCACTATACACGACAAATAACAGCTCTCCTCCACGAATTAATTCAATCTTGTTTTATCGACTTTGGCTCCTTGACGCATCCTTACCTGGTCATTTTGTTGTGACGTTGGAAGCCTGATTAAATTGAAAAAGTTCCAGCATTTTGGCCTAAGTGTCTTTGTTCGCGGGACAAGTATTTTAACGCATGGCAATGGCGACCTTTATTAAAATTATTTAGTGCATTATTACATGAGTCAAGAACATCTAAGGTTCGCAATTTTGCTAAAATGAGTGAGAGTGTGAGTGTGGGTCAAGAGCAATAATGGATCCAAGTGCAGTCAATGACAATTTCCCACAGAAGACACAGGAAAGTCGCAGCACTTAGCCAATATCACCAAAATCGATGTTTCCAAATATCCCATGAATATTATGGTAAAGTAGAAGAGATTTGCCAATATTTCGTTAAAATGGATCCAAATGCGAGTCAATGTCGATATGCCATGGAAAATTTTCAAACTGACCAAATATCGCGAATATTGGTATAACTGCAGGTCAATGTCGATATTCTTTGAAAATCATAGGTAAGTTTCAGAAAATGGCAAATATCGCCAAAATAGAGCCAGGTGCCACTCAATGTCAATATCTCATGAAAATCATGAGACAGATGTGGAAACTCGCCAATATTGCCAGAATGGGTTTAAGAGCAGATCAACAGTAATATCCCATGAAAATCATACGAGAGTTCTGGAAACTGGCCAATATTGCTAAAATGAGTCCAAGAGCGAGTCAATGTCGATTTCCCGTGGAAATCATGGAAAAATTTTAGAAAACTGAACGTAATATCGCTAAAATGGTTCCAAATTAATGCGTGTCGACAAGAAAATAATATGAAGGTGAGAAAATTTGCCAATTTCGCTAAAATGAGTCCAAGTGTGGGTTAATGCCAATATCCCATAAAAATGTGAAGAAAGTTATGTAAACTGGCCAATATCGCCAACATGAGTCCAACTTAATGTCAATGACCCATGAAAATACAGATGTGGAAACTGGCCAATATCACTAAAATGGATCTAGGCGCGGATCAATAGCAATATCCCATGAAAATCATAGAAGAGTTATGGAAAATGACATGTATCGCTCATAGGTCTCAGTGAGGATCGGCAGCGATATCTCATGAAAATCATATGAAGGTGAGGAAATTCGCCAATATCGCCAAAGAGAGTCCAAGTGTGGATTAATGCCAATATCCCATAAAAATGACGAGAAAGTTATGTAAACTGGCCAATATCGCCAAAATGGGTCCAAGTGCGACTCAAGGTGAACATCTCATCAAAATCTTAGGACAGATGTGGAAACTCGCCAATATCACTAAAATGGGTCTTAGTGAGGACCAACAACAATAACCCTTGAAAATCATAGGACAGTTCTGGAAACTGGGCGAGTCGCTAAAATGAGTACAAGTGCGATTAAAAGTCGATTTCCCATGGAAATCATAGGAAAAATTTGGAAACTAACCAATATTGCCAAAATGGGTCTGACTGCGGACCAACCGCAATCTCCCATGAAAATCATAAAACAGATGTGGAAATCCGTCAATATCACCAAAATAAGTCCGAGTGGGACCCAATGTCGTTATCCCATGAAAACCATAACAATGTTACCGAGTTTTCATTGCTCGGGAACTCTGGTTTGGCTAAATTCACGTCTGCTGCAAATTGTCTTTAATTCTCTGAAAGGTGGTGAAATCTTCGTAAACACTCGAACCTCAGAACAAATGTGGTGCATGCCAATAGGAAACAAGTGATAACGGATCAGTTCTTGATGTATTACGCTGTATATCAAGTATACTACGTGTATCCTCCTGGGAAGGCTAACACACACGCACACCCACAGTTTTCGGGGTTTTACCCGATGAAACCGCTAAAGACCAAAGAAATCCGGGCCATACGATCTTCGTTTCGTGTCTTAATTGGTTTCATAGCACCAAAGTAGCCACAATACAAAGAAAATGAATAGAAGGGACTGTTTCCCCTTATTCTTTTCAAGAAAAAAAGACACTTTTAGTGTTGTTCCATGATACGATAGAAAGCCTAAAAATGGAAACTTTTCAGACCAGTTCATAAGGGGATGATGGACTACGATACTAGAGTCATTGATTGATATGTAAAGTATTAGAATTGACAAGACAATTGACCGATAGATTTGCTTGTTACTCGCTTTCATTATGCACCTGCACGTCGGCACTTGTTATTTATTACTGGTTTTTGTTAGGTAAATACAAGTGTTAATTGGCTCTCGAGAAAAATTGGTTCAATAGCACCTCTCACCAGTTAGTTCTAAAGCAAGTACCTTGTGCAGCTTTTATGATTACTACTTTAGCTTCTACTCTAGCATGGTGTATGTTAGAGCGCTCTACGAATAAAAGTATACTGTGGAACCAAACGCTATCTCTTTCTTGACGTCCGTACAAGTTCACTCGAAGTAGATCACTGTGTGCCAGGAAATCGTGAAGAGTTTCCGTTCTCATTAGCCGAGTGGTCTCTGCCGAGTTAATTCCCCCCGTTTGTACGTTTCCCGCAAGTTCAGTTTAGAGTGCGTGAAAACTTATCGTCAAACTTGTTAGGAAACTATGCGATAAACATCGGATATGCGATGCTCGATGGACAGTGCTTTTTCCTTTTATTGCCAAGAAATTAACCAAATAAACATAAAAAAAAGCAAACAAACACACAAACAAAAAATATAAATTAAGAGATTTATTTGCCAAAACCACGTTACAATTTATTGTGCACAGTTCCAAAAGGTTATGGCGCCTTCACAGGGAGGTCAGCCTGAAGAAGTAAACTTCAGTAAGTCGAGTGAAAATAGGTTGCCGGCTCTAAAGGCCATTCATAAAACCACCGACAAAAATCGATTCTCCGTCATAGAATGCACCATTCAACCACAAAGTTTCCCGGATTCACTGTGCGCCCATGAATGTGTGTTCGTGGTGGAAGAACAAAAACCACACGTATTTTTCAGGCCGTGCTTGGTAACAGCATTCCAAATTAGTATCTGCGTAAAAAGGGTTACAAAGTAAATAACGTTGGTGTTAAATACTTAGGAGACCAAATAGTACACTAGTCTTTCATTCCAGCGTGATCACTTTGTTTCATGGAAATCCCTAATTCCTTTTCACACGTAATAAGCCCGTCACTTTGAGTGGTTAACACGCTTAACACTGAACTTTACAAAGTCAGAGATAAAAAATAGGTCCGCAATGCGTACGTGTGTCTAGTGCTGGGTTTTAGCGGTACTTCCGTGGGGTCTTGTTTTGTGTAGGTTTGGTTGCAAGTTCAATTCAACAATTTGAACAAGAATTGATTAAAATAATTTTAGCTGCAAGGTTAGGTGGCTAAAATCTGGAATACAGAGACTGGAACATAGACATCAGGGATGAACAAGTTTATTGTAAAAAACAGCCTGCATTACAAAAGGAACCGTAACTGTATGTATTTAATACAATAAGTAAGAACAAAACATGATTCAAGTTAGGAATTGTGATTTATTTTCTTTTACATCAGAAAATTTAATGAACATATAACTGTAATATAAAAAAGAAATAGAAAGTTTAACAACAGGAGAGTATGAAGGAATGCGAACAGCTCTACTACTTGATAATTACTGAAGGTTTCAACTGAGACGGTTTACTTTTGTAATTGAAAATTATAAGTGGCAACATCAGTAATCTGCATTAAAAGCCTTGAGTTACTGTTGAAACTTTCTCTTCTCAATGTATAAGCATTAAAAATACTGTTCATAAATGTACTTCAGTTGCAGTTTTCAATTGAATGTACAAACTCAATAAAATATATAATATCTAAATACTTTTAAATACAAAAAGTCACTTGGGAGAAGGGGAATGCTATAACAGAACATTGTCCCAGTGATAATAACATGAACATTTTTGTCTTTAGTGAAAGATACATGCTTTGGTATCCTGTTAAATGGTAATATAGAGTGGATGCATTCTGATCTTTACCATTATTTTGGTTCTTGCTGCAGTTTAGTTCTCTGCAACACTGACTGCAGCCACAGCTTTAGTTTTCTCATCAAAGGTAACAAAGAGCATTGGTGTATTTAGGAATGCTTCAACAACAATATCTTCACTTAATGACTGCTTAGCGTCAACTTTAAACAACTGTAAGGCACTGAGCAAAGTATCATTAAAAATGTTACAGTGGTGTTAATGTCATCATGTCTCAGCAATGCCTGCAAGTGGTACTGACTGCTGCAAGCAGACACTTTCTGCCTGAGGCCACATGTTTCACACTTTACTACATTCCCTGGTGTTGCTGGAAGCTTTTTGTTACATTTGCAACATTGGCGATAGCACATGAAATTTTGAACACCAAGGACTTCAGCATTTGTTGATGTTTGGGTGAAGTAGTCTGGCAAATCACCTGGTGAAGCTACTTCCTCTGGGAAAGGATCAGCTGGTGAAATGGAACAGTCATGCTTTGGTGTAGTAAGGTAAATGGAGTAGTTGTCATTATCCTTCGTCACTTTAAGGTTACAGAAGTTATATGTGTTGTCGTCTGCAACTTCTGTAATCAGGTCCTCCCACAGGGTTAGTTTGATTGATCCAGATGGATCTAGGAGGCAACAATCAGCTTTCGACTTCGTGCCATCTCTTGTGATTATTTTCTTCACTCCAGATAAGTGGACCACTTTGGCTTTGAGATTAATAAGCTGGTTATTGGTGACATTCGAGAGCATCGAGATGTTTAGAGTCGAGGGAATCTCTTCTCGTAGAAAAGTGACCTCCTTCAGTTCCTCTATTTGGACTCTTGCATTCATGAGAACACTGTCATTTTTAATAGTGAAGTTGCTAATCTTTACTGGGGACTTTTGTTTGCTGCATCTTTCAAAGTCAAGATGCTTGCTTGAAGAGAAACAGACTCCACGTACTTTGGTCGCTTCTGTTTGAATAAGCATATCAAAATAGCGAGTCTTGTTGGAGTGCTTAACAGGGGATACGTTATGAATGTATCCTGTTAGGTTGTTCATTGTTGTTGTCTATTACAACCGAGGTGTGTCTACCTGGAGAGCGAAGAGAAATAAATGGTATCAGTAACTGTGGGTTGTAGAAC